AAAGTCAGTAGAGGCCATAGAGCTTGAACATAATGGGAACCCAGTAAATATTTCTTGAATGAATGAAGACACAAATGAGATCTCTCACAAAATACATTGACATTATGGATGAGAATCTTGTCATACCATTAAATAACTATGGTCAGTAAACTGATGTTTTTCTCTAAGAACCATTACGGTGAGTCCAATGGGATTGTGTCACTTCTAAAATAACACTCTGAAGGCAACCATTGATTTCCATCCTAGGAACTGGAAACATCCATGCTTAAGATACATTGAGTATAGCTTGTGTACCCTAAATGGTTGGCCAACTATCAGAAAATAGAATTTGAGAATACTCCAGTCTCCACGCATTCCATATATATAGATGCTACTTGAGTGTGTGTGTGTGTGGGTGTGTGTGTGTGTGTGTGTGTGTGTGTGTGTGAGTGAGAGAGAGAGAGAGAGAGAGAGATTAAGCCCAGGTTGAAATTTGTGGAAAAGATAATTTGTGTTAATTTCCTTCACTCCTCTGTTGAATGTTACGAATTACAATATCAAATAATATAGGTAAGTATTTTACTATTGACATGCTTTTCTGGAAGTATCCCTAAGACACCTGTTTCTTTTCCTGGTGAAAGAGGTAGTGTAGTCCAACTTGATAGTGAAACGTGACATAAGACAGGGGCATACGTCTTTAACAAAGTCAGTCATTCAAACTTTCAGTTGAAACTTCAGCTCATTTGTTCTAGGCAGTGCCCCTGGGGCTCCTGTTTGAACAGCACACAGCGAGGTTAGATTTAGAAGGCAAATTTTTCATTAGCTTCTTTTGAAAGATGCCTGAAGTCAAATCCCTTGAAGGAGTCTTCTACCAAAAAAAAAAAAAAAAAAAAAAAAGATTGCTGCTCTGTTGGGTAGGTGAGGTGGATGGTTAATCCAAGGAAACCTCAGACTGAAAGCAGCCAGGAAATGGAAACTTTAAGGGTAAACCGACCAACATGCCTGGAAAACATCCATACAGGATAGAAATGGGGGAAAGAGGAATTTGAAATAAAATTTCAGATGGCTGTTTCGTGTCAGAGTACCATCGTCAGATTTGATTTATCCTAGCAGAGGAAATAATAAACATCGTTTTCACTTTTAAAAAAGGTAATATTTCACAGAAATTTAGATGAGTTTTGAACAGCACGGTGTTTTGATTGGCGTTTTTCCCAAGATCATTTTCAGTTTATTTTCGTTTTAAGTAGAACTTAGAGTAAAGTGAATGAGTAAATCTTATGTGTCCACATGTGTACAACTGTGAAACCACCCAGATCAAGACTTAGAACTTGTCTAACAGTCCAGAAGGCTCGTTCCTTCCCCCCTCCCCATCAGTACCCCCCACAGGTGGCCAGTGTTCTGAGCTCTGCCTTCATACATTCGTTTTATGGCCCGTGACGTCATGTGAGTGGAATCATACGGGACCTGCCCATGTGTCTGGTGCCTTTTCTCAGTGCTCTGTCTGAGAGAGCCATAGATGTTGTGTTTTCCTCGCTGCGTGGCTATTAATTTATTTTCATAAAACCAGTAAAAGGGGAGAGATAGTGCCATGAAGTCATAAGCCGTTTGTGTTCACTTTTGAAGTAACTCTGCGTCTCCATTTAAACATGGCTTTGGGTCACCTGGCTGACTCAGTCCGTAGGGCATGCAGCTCTTGATCTTGAGTTTGTAAGTTCAAGCCCCATGTCAGGTATAGAGATTACTTAAAAGTAAAATCTTAAAAAAAAAAAAACAACCTTATAAAAAATGTCAGATAAACATGGTTGATACGTTCAGATCTGTCATGATTTGGGCTTCCGTATGTTAAGAAAAATTCAAAAAGGTTTACTGTGCTGTCCGGTGGGACAGCCACCAGCAATGTGTGGCTGTGTGGATTACAGTCTAGATTCATTAAAATAAACTAACATTAAAAATTTTGTTTTTCAGTTCCACTGGCCACACTTCAAATACTCAAATAGCCACATGTAGCTAGTGGCCACCCTACCAAATGGAGCAGATCTAGAACATTTCCTTTCTTGTAGAAAGTTCTGTTGGACAGTGTTGTTTAGAAAACTGGCCATTGGCTGACTTCCTCTTCCCTTCCCCATTTTCCAGACGTAAGGATGTGGTGGGTTTTATTTATTTATTTATTTATTTTTTTTCTTTGTAAGTTATCATTAAATCTGTGCTTCTGAGGCCATCATCTTACAAGTCTCTGTTTCCTACATTGTCCCTCTAGACCTTGGGGGAAAAGAGAAGTGGGAGAATTCTCACAATACACTCTGCTGTTAATTTCTAGAAACTATCATGTGCTCTCCTACTTCAGGGCCGTGGCAATACTGCTTGGAACCCTCCTCCCAGCAAGCAAGCCACTGGGTGCTGATTTCTCATCTATCAGATCCCAGCTTAGACTATCTCCAGAGGATCTTCCCCTTCCCTCCTCCTAGCACCCAAGCCTGGCTTTCCGGCCCCCTTGATTCAGCGCCCATGCCTTTCCCTGCCTGGTCACAGTTGCTTGTTTCCTGGCTTCTGTCTCCCACCGAACAACAAGCCCTGGTGGGACCAGTGTGTCACATACCCTGTTGTATATCCATTTCTTGGTAGGGTGCCTGGCACTTAGGAGAGGCTAGTAAATGTTGTGGAAGGAGGGAATAATGGGCTGCACAAGGAGGGGCCAGTAACCAAGTAGCTTAATGTTAGGGTTCTTCTCTCCCAGGGAAGTCTGTTCCAGGTGGGTGTTTATCAGAGACAGCTTCGTGTCTGGGAGAACGCTGAGCTGTTTCTTCAGCACTGACGACGGCGCGGCCAACGCATTTGCACCCTTTGTGGTTACTGTTTTCGGTGTGCCTTTCATCGAAGAAAATAATTCTGAGAGATATCCAAGCTGAGATGATGATGGGCAAGCAATCAAAGGGAAAGGCAGATGGGGTAGTGGAGCTGAAAAATGGTCATAATACGGTAGAACATTCTGCATCTGTGAGCAGGCAGCTGTTCTTGGCATCCCGGGCAACGCCTCACCAAGCCAGATGACCTCACCGGGGGCCACATAAAGGCAGGGTCTTCGGTCAGGATTGGTACCAGAAACCCCTACTCCACCTTGCTTTAAGAAGAAAGACATTTATTTTCCCAAGTAACAGGAAATCTCAAGATTGGCTCAGAGTTGGTCTTTTCGGTGTGCCAGCAATGTCAGAGAGAACCCAGTTCTTTCCAACTCAGCGTGGCCACCCTGGCCCTGGGCTTCCTCCTGAGGCTCGTGGGGAAATGGCGGCTACAGGTACAGGCCTCCCATCTGGGCCTTGGGGTCTAGAAAAAGAAGGGAAAGCCATTGGCAAGGGATGGGGTTGCCAGAATGCGTCAGAGGAAGCATCTGGAGTAGCTGCAGTAGCTACTGGGTTTCCGCTGGAAACGCCAAGACTTCCCAGCCCCGAGCACCCCCTTCCCCCATCCCAGCCTATGCATTTTAAAAGTTCTTTCAGTCTGCACTCCATACAGAAAAAGAGTGAATGAAAACCCTTTACACTGTTAGCAAATATAGTTAATGCCTTAGAAGTCACCTCATGGGGACACAGCCAGACCAGGGAAGGTTCCCAGAATGGAGAAGGAGAGCAGAGGAGCTACGTTGGGGGGCTCCTCGAAGACCAGTTCTGAAACTTAAAGAGTCTTGTTGGAGTCGGCCTGAGTCATGAAACCCTCCTGGCCCGTAAGGGTTAATCCCCCGCCCCCTGCCGCCGCTGAAGGAACACCGGCTTAATTTTAAATTCAGCAGTATCCATACATTTATGATTTACAATGTAAATGGTATATATTCTGGGAAATCTGGAATCCTTCAACCGATCGGTTATGCTTTAATTTTTTTTTCTCCTTCTTCTATAGACCTAGCAGTGTTGGAGCTGTGCTGAATGAGGTCACAGTCTAACTACAGTATTAACCCTGCAAATCTGTTCATTTTCGCCTGAGCACCCTCAGGCAGGATACAGAATGTGTCCAATTGAAAAACTATTACAGGCGCTGCAGTCCGTGATGGGATGAATTGTAACAGGGTGGAGGCTGTTGTGGGGGAGGGTGTCTTTAGCCAGGTAGGAAGCATCTCTCAAAAGCAGAGGTTATGTGATTACATTTTTTAAAGGAAAAATGTCATTCTCTCTCATTCAGATTTTAAAATGCAACTTTTGATATTTTCGTATTGCAACCGTTTTAGATTTTCTACCAACCGTGTCTCTGTCTTGTAATTTCCCCCCGTCCAGTACCTCTTCAGTTTCCCTTCTCCATGTGCTGCAAATATCCCTTCGTGTGTTTTTAGTATCTTTTGCATTGTTAAAAATAGAGAGGAGCGTATAAAGAATGGTAGAGTGAACACTCATGAACCGACCACCCCGTTTAAGAAATCAAACACTAGCTCTTTTCCTGTGACTGTCTCTGGGCCCTGTTTAATTCGGCATGGAGAAAAGCACGACACAGATGGTCAGTATTTTGGGTAGAGGCTCTGTCACCACCTCATTCGTGGTGGCTGTGGAGCTTCAGCAAGTATGTGCAGTTGCTGCCTTGCCTAGACATGTGGTTAATGCTAAGTAGTCTAACAGTTGTGCCCCAGGTAACTCCTAAAGCTGTTTCACATCATAAAATATATGATGTTTTGCAAATTTATATTTTATCATGCTGGGTTTTATGCACAAAAATGAGATGACTTCCCCTTTATAATCTCCATCAAAAGCATTTTTCAAAATCCCTTTATTATGCCTTATCACTGGCTTTGCCACACATTGTTTGCATGTTTGAAAACCATCTCTGGCGAAATTATAAATCTGAGAGTATTGTTGTGGTGTTAGCCGTGCAGAACCGAGGGATAAAAGCTATTTTAACTCAGTCCTCAATTGTAGACTCTGAATATTTGACCCCTTCGTTGAGTGCCAGAGACTAGACCTGTCTGTGGTTTGGGCCCTAATCTAAGAGAGTAATGGACCATGTTTGGATAGTGTTTGAAATATTTAGATTGTATCCACAGAAAGGATGTAATATTTTATTTCCCCAAGAGTACAGTTCCTTTAGCATGTTCTTGCTGCCTCCATGTGATGTCCTCTGTCTGCTCTGTTTGCTCACATTGTACCTTTAAAAAAAATTTTTTTTATGTTTATTTTTGAGGGAAGGAGGGAGGGATAGAGTGTGAGTCGGGGAGGGACAGAGAGAGGGACACAGAAACTGAAGCAGGCTCTAGGCTCTGGCTGTCAGCACAGAGCTCGACACAGGGCTCGATCTCGTGAACCACAAGATCATGACCTGAGCCGAAATCAGAGGCTTAACCGACTGAGCCACCTCACATTGTACCTTTCTACCTTGGGAGCTTGCTCTCTTCAAGAAGTCTGGCATAGCGAAGAGCATCTTGCTCATGCTCCCAAACGCATACTGACCACTGAAAAGGTACAGTCTTTTCCAAGCTCCCCAGACCCATAGTCTTGTAGAGAGAGAAACAGAGAACAAACGGGTAGAGTGTGTGTTGATTTTTTTTTTTTTAGTCTCTTGACTGATGAGCTTGGGGTGCCTATTTACAAGGTTGCTTTGAGAATGTGTGCTGATGGCCAGGCTAGTCATACCCTCGTTTTCCTGATTTAAAAAATAGAATTCGAGGAAAGCATAGCTGCAGAACACAAGTGCTGAAAGATCCGTATTTATCCCAACTGCATAGCAATAAAGAAGTTTCCAAACAGAAGGATAAAGCATACGTATTTTATTTAGATGTAGGTTGTTTTAAGTGTTGATTGTCTTTTCCCGTGGAATGAGGGGTAGCTCTCCATGTGCCATTTAGCAGTTGTTAAATGCGAGAATTCATTAGTAAAATACACCATCATAGAGCTCAGGACGATTGGAAATGAACGTTAGTTCAGCTCGTTGATTCCGAGCTTGGGAAGTTTCCTTTTCTTTGTTACAGATTTTGTTTTTCTAACATTCATTACAACCAGAGCGAGAGCCCATTGATGTTTCAAGATTGTATTGCCAAATGAATATCAACACTAGTCTCTGGCTTATTCTTTATGATGCATGTGTTTCCTTTGTCTCTACCGAAAACGTGTCTAAACTTGCTTCTCTCTCTGTAGGACAGTCGGCCCAATATGTCAAGACCTCTGATCACTAGATCTCCTGCATCTCCACTGAACAACCAAGGCATTCCTACTCCAGCACAGCTCACAAAATCCAATGCGCCTGTCCACATCGACGTGGGCGGCCACATGTACACCAGCAGCCTGGCCACCCTCACCAAATACCCCGAATCAAGGTAATCCAAAAAACAGAAAAGTCATACTCAGAAGTGCATGTATTTGATGATCTAACTCTTTTTCCTTTGACCAGCACAGCCAGGGTTAGAGCGTGAGGGCGCTGTGTGGGCCACCAGCTACAGACGCTGCTCTTGGACGTGGCTGTCAGTCTTGTCCGAGCCAGGGCTCCACCCACAGCTTAATCAGGTCCACGTAGACATGTCACGCAGGAATGGAGTTCTAGGGTGATTTGCCCTGCGAAGATCTTCAAGGTTCTCACTGGAGTACAGAAGGAAAGATGATTTCTGTTGCTACCGGCTTTTCCTTCTGTCCTTTTCTGAAATACTTTATCAGTTCTTAAGAATTTTCTAGATCATTTGGTGCACCAACTTGTGAACTAGAGAAAAAAAAAATTACTCTTATCAGTGGGGCAGTATATTTACAACACGATGCAAAAGTCCAGGACTCCAAGAGAGTCTTGTTTAAAAAAAAAAAGAAGAAGAAGAAGGCCAGTGGGACTTCTGAGCACTCAAGACAGATAAATAAATCTAGAAAGTGTGTGAAGAGGGAGCGTGGTTTACAAATAGACACTGCACACTTCTGCTTATGAGATCCCCTCCCGTGTCCCCACCTGCTCGTTTCTAAAGGAGTTCCAAGGAAATGGTTCACATTGCTCCTGTCCCCTGGACAGCCCTCCTGGCTCTGTGTAGATTTGGGGGCTATGCCTGGGTTCTATAAGGGATCTGCCCATAGGTAGGGGAGGAGGCAGGAGCTCATATGGTCTCAAGTCAGGAAAAAGAGAGTTTCTCTCCTTGGCTTTGCTCTTATGAAATGGGAACACACCACTTGTATTTCAGGAGGGCGCCGATTGCATTTTTAAGAACTTCTTACAAAGTGACAGATAGAAAGTAGCTTACAGCCCGAGCGGTGAGTGCAGACATAAAAATCACTGGCTTCTCGTTAACTGCATGAAGGCCAGGTTTTTTTTGTTTTTTTTGTTTTTTTTGTTTTTATTCTTGCTCTGCTACCTGATATTTTATGAAAGAATGTGAAGGTCGAAAAGAAAGATAAAATTTTCTCTCTCAGTTTCAAGACTGAATTTCTGCAATCAAAGTGAAATGGTTTTTTAAAAAACAGATGACCATTAATTCAATGACCAAAAAGCTTTATATTTTTAAATGGAATGATTATCTCCTTCAGTTATGAGTATTACTGAGTCCCCACTTTCCATAAGTGCATTGTGACAGGTGCTACATGATCATGCTCCATGATGGCTATATTTCTCAAGAATATTCGTCATATAAGTAAGTAAGGTTTCTTTTAAAAAAAAAAAACAAAAAAACATTTCCATTCCTTTTAATCCCATACCAACATCAACAAAAGACAATCACCATGCCTCTTCAGATGAACACTTAAATTCTAGGGGGCAAGCCACAGCACATACACGACCCAAAAGGCAGTTCCTTCGCTGTAGCAGAATTCACTGATGTGATCTGATCTGGTGGCCTTTTCTTTCATTCAGTCCACTTTATAAACTCTGATCCAGGAGGGAAGTTCATAATGACCCTATGTGCATATGACATAAGTAGTAGGTTTTTTCGGAGGGCTCATTGCAGCTGGGGGGGGTCTCCTCCTAGTGACTAAAGCTGCTCAGGGGGTTGGCAACCTTGAAAGTCCCCGGTATCTCTTAGCCTGTTGCAAAGGTAGAAGGTAGAAGTGTGTTGGAGGCTCTGTTTACTCAGTTGCTGTCTCCGATGATCTGCCATGTTAAAGACCTCGAATAGTGTTTCATTTGGAGAGTCTTCCTCCAACCACCTGTGCACGGGTATTTCTAAGGTCTGCTTTCAGTCCCTCGGTGTCCACACCTGAGACCGGCATCGCGTCCCATGATCTCAGTGGTCTGGATACGCCGTCTCCTGTGGCAGCCGCTAGCCCCGTGTGGCATGGTCCAAATCAGAACGTCCTCTGTGACTGTATACTGCACTGTGAGGAATTAGTACCTACCAGAAAAAGTAAAATATCGTCGGCAGACAGTCTCCCCTTTGCTGCTCCCTTGCCCTATATTCAGTCAACTTCTATCTCCTTTTAAAAAAAATCTCAGTAGTTTTTTATTATTGATTTCATGTTGGAACGAGAATATACTGAATTCAGTACAGCATGTCATTAAAATTAACTTCACCTGCTTCCTCTTACTCCTTCAACGTGGCTACTAGGAAACCCAAAGTTACATACGTGTCTTACTTTTTATGTCTATTGGATAGCGCTAACCTGTGCACAGATTTTTAAAAAATCTAACCAAACCCACTTCTTCCCCAACTTGATACGTACATGCATCATAACATGAATTTCTCTTTCACCACCTCAATTAGAAAAGTTGAAACTGTTCATCTTCCTTTCCTGACCTTCCCCTACACACCCTTGCCAGCCCTGGGCCACAGTATCGTGGGAGGAACATCAGAAATACTTCGTGGTTCATTAGTCCCACGTTTAAATGCTGATGCTGCCATTTAGGAGTTGTTTGGCCACGATAGGTCCTATTTCTAAGTGCCTGTCTTCTCTCTTGTAAAATAGACAAGGATAGGTCTTCTTGCAAGGTTATTGAGAGGATTAAATGTGATTATGAAAAGCACGCCATGGCCCGGCGCCCAACACGTAGTATTGCCTTTATGCTTAATCTTCTGCCAAACCCAGCAATTGTTTCTTTTCAAACTGCCTTCCAAATTCCAAATATATCCCCTTCCTTCAGTTCCTAGACCACGGAGACGGGCTCACTTTTGGCTTTTGGATTCTTGCCTGAATGACTGCAGGCTCAGGGGACCCCTCGCCTGCGCCTTCCGGTCCTTTATCTTGACGTGCCTACTTGTCCCAGAACTGCTGAGCCATTCCAACATCATCTTGATCATTAGAAGATCTTTTTAAGCATGTGTTGAGACTCGGAAACAAGCCTTAAAAAGTGACCTCTGTGTCTGTTGCTTACACCTAAAGCAGTTCATGCCGGTTTAGGTCTTGAATTGACCACTCTGCTCCCTCTTGGATTGTGTGTGTGTGTGTCTGCTTGGTAAATAATCCAGTGTTCATTTCAAGGCAGCAGTCAGTCTAAGGGGACCCAAACATACATTTTCTTAATCAAAGATACAGGGAAGAAAGAGTTTCATGCTCTTCTTAGACATGTCAGCTACTTCTTTGATCTTCAGGGAAGATCTCTTGCCTATCATCAACCCTTTGGAGATAAATCCTAGGAGATTAGGTTGCCCATGACCATAGAATTACAAATAGCTCCAACTCAACTTCTCTAGATTCTAGGATACTTCAAACCCTTTACCCGCAGTGGGACCATTCCCTGCCCCCTCGCCTGTAAACACACCCTGGCTCCCTTGCTCACTCGTCTTTTCCTTGGTGTAACCCGGAGGGATGGACAGCTTTTTCATTGGTTTCATATTCGAGGATTTCAAGGGGAGACTTGTAGTGTGAAAGCCTCATTAATTTGTTTATAACAAGTGATTATAAAAGATGTAATGTCTTTCTACAGTTTCAAAGGTTCTACAAAGAGCCTTTATTCCATTTCGAAATATTGTAGGTGATTTTTCATTGTGTCTTAATTTATCACCTTCTTGGCTAAAGACCGCCCTTAGAACATCGTCCCAAGAAAGTAGTAGTACAATGGACCGCACAGCCAGACATTAGAAGCACCTGGGAAGCATTCAGAGGCCATGTGTGGTCCTGCCCCAGGGCAATAAAATTGGAGTCTCCATGATTTTCTTAAGAGATACTGACTTTCACCCTCTGGGTTTGAATAACACCAACATGGATGTCCCTCCAAGTGAACGTAGGCCTCTTCCTCAATGAATATTTCATATTATATCATAATGGTCATTAAAAGAAATCACCTTTTGATCTTTATTTCTGTAATGACCAAGGTTACTTGTCCCATTGTGTGTGGGCACCTCTGTGCTTCAGTGTTTTGGGGGGAGGCTTGTAAGCCCTAAGTAGAGATTCAGGAAACAAGTTGAGTTTTTACATTTTACAACAGGGTTCCTTGTGCATATTGTTGTTCGCATTCATTGTCAGGTGGTTTCTAGTTAAAGGGAATGAAGTTTTCAAATTAACTGCAGTAGTGCATACATCAGTGACGGGCTGCATCTCACCGATGTTTTGTGTAAGATGCAGAGCAGCTCTTTGGAGGTGTTTATGAGTCTGAGGCTCATGCACACCCCCTTGGGGATCAAGGAGCTAGATCCCTTGCAGAGTCGCTGACAAGTCTCCACTTCCAGTTGCTATTCTGAATTGTAATCACCCAGAAAAACACCCAGTTCAGATCTGTAAGAACGGCACGTCAAATAAGTAAAACGACAAAAAAGTCAAAAACTATGTCACTATCATAAAAAGATTTTTAATGGATTTACGAAGAAGATAGAACGTATCTTACCTGACATTTTGCTAGCTTGATTGATGAGTTATAAGTCGCTAGACATGGGAGGTGGGCCTCAGCCATACTCTTGCCCTGGGCCCTGCAGATTTTAAGGACAGACCTGATTATATATGTGATTTAAAAATCTAAGGCACCCATTGTCAACATCATTGATAACAACAAAGTTTAGGTATCTGAATAATTTGTCATAAATAATTAAGATTGGTACCAAATTACATGGCCTCTTTAAAATCTCCTGCATTTTGCCCCTAAAATATCTTCTATCTTCATAGCTGTGTGTGTGTGTGTGTGTGTGTGTGTGTGTGTGTGTGTGTGTGTCTGATATTACAGAAACTTTCTTTGCTTTAGAAGAGACAAGTCTGGGGGCACCTGGGTGGCTCAGTCAGTTGGGCATCCGATTTCAGCTCATGTCATGATCTCACAGTTCGTGGATTCAAGCCCCCCATTGGGCTCTGTGCTGACAGCTTGGAGCCTAGAGCCTGCTTCAGATTCTGTGTCTCCCTCTCTCTCTACCCTTCCTGGTTGTGCTCTCTCTCTCTTTCTCTCTCAAAAATAGATAAAACATTAAAAAGATTTTTTCAAAACAAAAGATACAAGTCTGAGTTCAGAGTTAAGTCCATTTCATCCTTTATTATCACCTTGAACAAACTAGAAGTAATTTGTTTATTCAAATGTGGACTTTTAAAAACCGGGAAGTGGGCTGTTACTGCTAATGAGTGAAACCTATCAGGTGGTATTAAGGCAGGGGTGTTAGCGAAAGAGAGTCCTTCAGCCAGTGACCCAGAGGTGAAAGACAAATCTGCTGTTACAGTCCCCTGAGCCATCTGATCTGACCGCTTGAAAAGCTTTTGTGTGTTTTAGACCCAGCACATGAGTTGACTCCCACGTAAGAAGATTATGCTAAGTTGGTCTCTCCTAAATAGCAGCAGAGTTACTAAGTGCACTGGCCTATGTGGGTAATTGCAAAACTCTAGAGACTGGGCTTTCAGCCTCACAGTCAACACCCATGGCCACCCAGGGGGGGTGTGTACTTGGAGCTCTAGAATGCAGATGCCAAGCACACGCGCCCTGCCAGCACTGCTCCAGCGTCTGGCGTGCCTCACTCTGGATGTGTTAGCCATTAAGGCATGGTTCCTGTGGGCTGCCCTGAGAGCAACGTCGGGTGAGCGCAATATTAAGGGATTGGTACACACGCTTTCAGGATGGCTGAATTCTCATATTTGGATTTCCGTGTAATTGCTGTGTGCCAGCCTAGGGAGTTGTCTGTAATCCTGCGTTAGGACCGAGGATTCTATGCTGTGAGTCTGTGACTTCACGTTCCAATTTCTTATGCCAGGCCGTAGACACCAGTCCAGTCCTGTCACCACGCAGGCCTGCGTTTCAGGATTCCAGCGGAAATGCTAAGAAATCGATGTGTCCTCCTTGCCACACAGTTCACTGAGCTTTCTTTCAGAATTCTTGCAGGGCACTGAGTAGAAGGCTTTTTATTATAACCTACTCTTTAGAGCAGCATGATTTAAATATTTTTTAGGTTTATTTCTTTTGACAGGCAGCATGAGTGGGGGAGGGGCAAAGAAAGGGGGAGAGAGAATCTGCGCCATTAGTGCAGAGCCTGATGCGAGGCTCGAACCCAGGAAGCCATGAGATCAAGACCTGGGCCAAAACCAAGAGTCGGACGATTAGCTGACTGATCTCCCCAGGCACCACAGATCAGCATGATTTATAATGCAGTGTCTATCTCAAGTTTAAGAAAACTCACAGTGGGGTGCCTGAGTGGCTCATTGGCTCGGGTCATGATCTCACCGTTCCTGAGTTCAAGCCCTGTGTTGGGCTCTGTGCTGACAGCTCAGAGCCTGGAGCCTGCTTTGGATTCTGTGTCTCCCTCTCTTTGCCTCTCCCTTGTTTGTACTCTGCTCTCTCTCTCTGTCTCTCAAAAATTAAAAAAAATTTTTTTTAATTAAAAAAATTCACAGAACAAGATTTTTGGGGGGAGTGGAAGTCATCCTGAGATAATGATGTAGTCCCAGCACAGGTGGAAAGAGGGGGCACATCCCTGACTTGGAAAAACCTGTGGAAATGCATGAATGAGGACAGTCTCTAACCAGTGGTGAACAGTGTTGAGTGCTAAGATTGGTTGATCTTTTAAAAAAGGAAATTAGTTTATGGGGAGTGTGTTGGACGGGGGCAGGGATTGAAAAGGCGGTAAAGTGCCTGGCAAAGGAAAAATAGAAAGTTTCTCCAGGGTGATAGGGGCGGTTTTCCTCTTCTCTGTTATTGTGCAATAATATTGCTTTTCCAAAATTGCTCTTCAGTTATATAGGCAAAGAGTAAAGGAAATCTGCTTCAAAAGACTTTAAAAAAATTTTTTAATGTTTATTTTTGAGAGAGAAAGAGCGAGCAGAGGAGAGTCAGAGAGAGAGGGAGACACAGAATCTGAAGCAGGCTCCAGGCTCTGAGCTGTCAGCACAGAGCCTAACACAGGGCTCGAACCCACGAACCGTGAGATCACGAACTCACAAACCACAAGATCATGACTTGAGCTGAGGTCAGATGCTTAACTGACTGAGCCACCCAGGCACCCCAAAAGACTTTTTTTTTTTTTTAAACAGTGAACCTGGATTTTCTCTTTAGTACCAAAAAACCAGTAACTAACGCTACTGGCGGATTCGGTAAACTTCCTTAGCCACTTGGGAACAAAACCAACTTGGCTTTCATAGTCCTCTAACTCATAAAGTCTTGTCTTAGAGGATAACTCACAGAACACTGTAGCCATGCTACAGTACCTGTAGTTTTTCCCTGTCCTTTACTTTCATCCACTGGAAGATTTCTTCTTTGCTTCCCCAGGGTGTGGGGCACGTACTGGCCAACATAAGTCCTTGCTCTCTTGCGGTTTATGTGGGGAAGAGGGAGGACAGGTGTTAAGTCAACAGTCACTAAGTGGTATTTGGGTCGGTACCAAGTAAAGTAGTAAGTAAGAAAAACACGCAGGATAGATAATGCCCACTTTGGGACATAGTTTGCCCCCTGTGTTGAGCCGAAAGATAACTTTATTCCTACGTATTTGCTCATCGAAATTTTCAAAACAAAATCCAGTTGACATGCGAGTGTAGCTTTCGAAGTAGGTTTTTGTCACTTCAGTGTGACGAGTCACCCTGATGGAGGCTCAGTTGGCCTACTCTGAGTTCCGTGATTCGTCTCCTGCGGCGTGGTGTGCGGCAAGTATGTGTGTTCCCCTCTCATCTCTGTGGGAGGGGGATGCAGGGCGAAGTCCGCTCTCTGGGCCGTGGCCGTGGGACAGCTCCAGGCCAGCTCATCTGCAGATCACCGTGCGGGCAGACCGAGCCTGGTACCGTTCCTGATGCATTTGCTTCCATTTTGCATTTGTTGGTCACTGAAGTTATGCTTGGCTTTGATTAAAATAGAATGAAAAAAAAAACTGATGTGGGCAGAAGCCCCTTGGTGGCAAATAATAAGCCTATTGCTGGCATGGACTGGCAAGAAGGTGAGGGTCACCCTGCTGTCTCAGGCCTGTTGCGTCGCCATGCCTCGGAAAGCAGAGCAGGGAGGTGGGGATGAGCACTGGGTATCTAGCATGAAGCATCTCAGGGCCAGATTGCAGGTCACGTTCTTCTGAACTTCTGACTTGCCAGGAACTCAGCCCTATTTTAGAGAGAAACGCTGTCCCTGGAAAGCTCTTTCTCACTTAGTCTCCACCCTCGTATTCTTGCGCTTAGTACTGTGCCTGCCACAGAGTGGATGTTCAAAAGTTTGCCTGATCCACGAATGATTGCTGAAATACTGTGTGCAGAGGTCAGGTCCTCAGAACAATGAAGGGCACGCAACTGAGTCAAGCTGTTCAGAACAGTCAAGTGCAAAGAGTTCATTATCTGTATTTCTCATCTAACAAGCTCTGCAGTAATCTCACAGGTAGGGACTGTTATTTACCCCAGTTTACTGATAAAAACACTCCAAGTCTGAGAGGTCAAGTGACTAGCCATCTCACTCCCACTCTGACCCCAGGCCCTTTGTGGCTTCCTCTTTTATAGCCTTGCTTCTCAACCCTAGGGGGTTAGAGTCAGGGGAGATCAACAAACACAGCTGGCCCTGCCCACAGCCGTTCTGGTTTCATTGGTCGGAGCAGGGCAGGGGACATCCTGATGTGTCCCACGGCCAGCCTTGTAATCCCTCTCACCACCTTCCAGAACTGTGTTCTACCAATGGTCGTGAGCCAAGAGGGCAGGCCATTCTGAAATAATTTCAAGCCCCTTTATTCTTTTTGTTATTGTTACTATTTTTTAAATGTTTATTTATTTTCGGGAGACAGAGTACGAGTGGGGGAGGGGCAGAGAGAGAAAGGGAAACACAGAATCCGACGCAGGCTCCAGGCTCTGAGCTGTCAGCACAGAGCCCGACGCGGGGCTCTGACCCACAAGCTGCAAGATCATGACCTGAGCCGAAGTCGGACCCTTAACCGACTGAGCCACCCAGGCACCCCCAGTCCCTTTATTCTTAAGGTGGCCTTCACTCAACTCTCCCAAGTGCTAGGGTAACGTTGAGACTTCATGGTAGGCCCAGTCCAGTCAGAGCAGCAGAGACGTACATGCCTCTTTCTTCAAGGCAGAGCCCAGAAAGAGATTTTCCAGTGTAGTTACCCGAAGACAAAGAGTAAGGAGAAGGGAGTAAATCAACCCAGCCAGTCAGCAACCCAGGAGCCAGGGAACCAGATGAACAAAGGGGGACGCCTGTTTTCAGAACACGTCCCTGCAGCTGATACCTCCTCCCTAATAACCCCCATGCCAGGGTCAAAAATGCAGACCCCTGGCCCCTGGCCCCCTCTCGAGTGACCCGCATCTCAGGGTGTGAGAGACTCTGCAGTCGTCATCAACGTCAGGCGGTCCACCCGCAGTGCAGAGTTCAGGCACCAGGTCTACAGTGAAGAGGTTCCGGTCATCTTTCACGAGGTCACACTCCACTCTCCTGTGTCTTGAGAGCAGTTCCATTAAAGGGCTTACAATTAACGCTGTGATTTCACACAACCCACTGTGAGTCTCCTATGACTCTGACTCCTCAAACCATGTA